TTTGCCCGTAGAACTCCTATTTGTTCAAACACCCACTCTGATTTTTCTTTCCAGTAATCCGATAGTATTGAACAATATGTAATTAGTAATGTAACTATACATGTCCAAATACTGAACATATATTTGTTCACCCTCAACACTATATTATTCAATTTCGGCTTTTTCAAATAACTAATTTTTCCCTCTGAATTTTTAAACCCTATTTGGTTGGTCAAATTTTCTTGCACTTCCTTATGTTTTATCGTGATTATACCATGATTCCTTGAATTAACCGCTTTGGCTCCTAAATTCTTCATCTTATTATTTGTATTCGATCTGTTCTGAACATTGTTGTTGCTGTTACTTTTAGTTATTCGTGCAGGTCCTAAATTAAATTGACATTTACTTTTTGAATTTACGGCAGTCCAGTCTAATGTCTTAGACTGGGCCGGTTGAAGTTTCCCGACGGATTTGGTACTGTTATTCTGCAAGTTTTTGCAAAATGTCCTTCTTTGCCGCACCTAAAACATCTAAGATTTGCACTCAAAGGTCTTCCACTTGGTCTGCTAAAGTTTGGATTACTGTGCTTTAAAGGTACTGAATGATTTTGCCAGTCCCTTTCTTGTCTCACGTTACTGTAGTTATTTTGGTTCCCACGTCCTGTATGTCCCAATTTACAAAATTTATTCTGTTCATGTCCTCTCACTCCACAAAAAGTACAATACAATTTGTTTAGTCTACTGAAACAATCCATTGTATCGTGTCCCGTCTTCTTGCAGAAATTGCAGGCCGATTTTTCTTGTTTTACTGTCTCCATAGGATGTTCTCTACATTTGGGTCCATTTTCATGCCCATATACTCCACAATTTGTACAGTATGGCGTATTTTGTCTTTCTGGGCAGTATGCCCATCCATGTCCGTCTTGTTTACAAAACGTACATTTCATTTCTGTTCGATTCTCTGTGGTAGACATGTTTATATTTGAACGTGATTCACCCAATAATTCTTCGGCTGATTCTGCAATAAAAATTAGTTTCTGGATAGGATCATTCTCTAACCCAATAAACCTATGCTTTAAACTATTGTCTTTCAAACCCTTAATAAAACAACGTACTGTTAGTCGCCTGTATTCTCCTAACTGTGACAGAATTTCACTCTCACCTCCTTGATTTCTTATTAGTTGTTCGGCTTCATGTAGTAACGCCTCCAGTTTACCTCCAAATGAACTCGCCGACTCATTCTGTCTTTGTTTAGTACAAGTTAGATCATTCCTTATGTGTTCCAATGTACGTTTCCTGAGGTATGTACGTTTAATCGCCTCACACAATTCATTTACTGTGTTGAAGGGTCTACCCGCGATATTCTCGTAAGCTACACTCACTAACCTTTGTTTTATGCAACTTACGACATACTGTGCTCCCTCTTGCGGTAGTGCTTGTTGTACCAGTTCACAACCCGCAATAAACTTGTGTACTTCACTCCGTAGATCGGGTCCTTCTGTGCCCGTGAAATACGGTACCACCTTGGTTACTATTTCCATGATTGCCGTAATCGATGCCATAACTTTTTTTTCGTTATTGTTTGTTTCCACCATTGTTCTCAGTAACTGTTTTGTTTGTCCGCACTTCGCTAGTTCTTTCTTTAAATCATCAATTTGTGCTGTTAGCTTTTTAATTTCGTTTTCCTTAACGTGATCTGTACCTTCTGAGTCCAAGATTATACTGATGTCCTGTTCCGTTTTTCCCTGGGTTTTTAAAACGTTCTCCAAAATTGCTGTCTGATCTTCCGCGTCTTGCAATAAAGATGTTAGTTCTTCCGTGCGTGAACTTAGTTGCTTACACTTATGTTCCAAACCCTTTTTAGCATCTGACAAATCTTCAATAACGTTCGCCAATTCTTTAGACCTTATCCCTTCCACACTCTCTATATTTTCCTTTATGTATTCAAGTTCTTCAACCCTCGTTAACCTGTTATGTTTAATATGATCTTTTGTTAATTGAACAAATTCCTTATCTGGATTAAGTTCAATTAATTTTTCCCAAGCGTGTACTCTTGCCGATTCTAAATATCTTTTAAATACTCTAAGCTCCTGTTGTAAATGTTCGATTTCCTTTTCCATTTATGAGAAATAAAAACAAAACAATTACGTGACCCCACTCAACCAATAACAATAATTAATTAATCAAAAAAGAAAATACCAAACCATATCTCTGTACTACACTTATTACTTAGAAAAAAAAACACTGTTTAATTCCACAATTCTCTAAATTCTTGCCTATATTGTCGGGCCCACTCTTTATCTGTTTTTGGTACTGGTCGTTTTATGCAGTTTTTATTGGGTTTTATGCTTATGTTTTCGTAAGATATTCCCTTATCTTTTGTATTGTCTATTTTACTAATAATACGATGTGCTTCCTCAAACAACCATTTATGCGAATCTAGATGGTTTTCTAAATCTTTTTCCTCGAATTGCTTATCGCAAACAAAACAACTTTTCCCCATATTTGAACAAACTTGAAAATTAAGAAATTTCACATTACAACGTAGAACAACAGAACTCAAAAAAACTTACATATAGTAATAAATTTACATACATAAAACTTACATTCAGAAAATTTACATATAAAATTTGATTTTTAAAAAATAAAAATATATATTATACATATCATTACAATATTATTTTTATGTGTTGTAATAAAACACATTTGATTTGATTTGTCTATCTTAAAAAATGAAATGTCTTTCTATTTTAAAAACTTAACTATAAATATTTCTTATTAATGACTTACAATTTTTTCTCCCATTTTTCTTCTTGTTGTGTGTTTTTGTTGATACTCCTTATTAATCCGGGTCTTGTCTTGTCCTTAATGTGTTGGTCCCTCGCTGCACGTTTTGTTACTTTTAGTGGTAAAAAAAAAAACGTGTATCGGCTGCCAATTATTATGTGTTGCCAAAAATTATTGTTTTCAATTAATTAATTAATTATGTTGTGTTGCATAGTTGTAATGCTGTAAACTCCCACGTAGGTAGGTGACGTTGTCGTCTCACGTTGCACGTTTTATATTGTATGTTTATAAAAACGTGTGTATACCGGCTGCGCCAATTATGTTGTGGGTTTTGGTGATGGAAGAACGTGAATGCGCCAAATTAAAATCTGGACTCAATGTTGTATCTTCAGTTAGTTGAAATTCTTCTTCATCTAACTACAATTGTATATGTTGTTTTTTTTTTCTCCGTCTAGTTATATAGTCATATAACTTATTCTGTTATACATGTAGATAAACTTCACTATTTTTTATTTGTTTAAGGAAAAAGAAAAGTCATTGATCTATTTTCCATGTATATTTTCTTTATTTCACTTGTTATTTCAGTTGTTTTCTGTTGTATACAATTTTTCTTTTCTATTTTCCAATTTCCTTAGTATAAAAGTTTATAACTAATTTTACACTTTTAAAAGTTTAATTATCAGTTTTAAACAACTTATTTAACTTTAAAATACACTGAGTTTTATTTGCAAGATTAATTCCACACAACTGTTTTACGCATCAGCGTCTCAGTCATCACTCAAAACTCAACTTCCTCACTCTCCAACTCTAACTGCAACTTAACTTACAACTATGTCTTTGTGGTTTTAAATCTATCTTATATACCCAAACTTGATGCAAAAATCCAATATATGACCTTCAAATTACCCTAGTTACCTAATTTGGTTTATTCATAGTTTCATAATTTACTTTGCTAAATTTGCAAAGTTTTTATTATTAATAAGAATGCTCTACATATTTTTGCAATTCTTCCGTATTTACAATTTCAAAGTCACTTACATCGTGACACCAATTATTAACCAAATACCAAAACTCAGCATTTCTTATCGTCGAACTGACGGTCTGCTGCTTTGGTTCTAGCACAGACAAATAATTATTTGTCTGTGGTTCTAGTCAACAACTGCCCAGATGCAAATAACCTTGCCTATTTTTAGGGAAATGTACGATCACCTAAGATCGTACACACTACCATACAGAAAAACTGCCAAAAACCCGTGAAATTAAATAAAATAAATATTTAACTCACAACAATATGCTGATATGCTAATATCTTTTATAAGTACCACATCCTTTATGTGGGGTCATTCACATATTCACTCTTAAATTTTTATTATAACTCCAAATGAAATAAAGCACTGCAACCATGGTAGATAGTTTACGTTAACAACCGACTCTAACTGCATAGAATAATCATATAGGATTTATGGTACCAATATCAGATAGGGAAAGAACGAACTGGATAGTCACCAAAAATATAACTGAAGTTCTCATTTGCTTTTAAGCAGAATTGACACTCTCCCTCTTCAGACAAGGGTTTATTTTTAAAATGGTACTGTAATGATATGCCAGATACCCTAACAAAAGCTTCAGTTGTATTTTACTTAAGAGGATCGTTACCGAAAGCATACACAACACGATTGCTTTAGTTACTTGCTTTTCCATCAATTACTTAGTTATAGAGAAACTGATTTTACAATATGATTCCGGCTTGTTCAAGTCCTAACACGCTCATCCTTTGTTGCCAATTTCAATGTAACGAGATTTCTTGCAAAAGTAATCGTTAGTGATGGCTCCTTTTTAGTTTTTGCTTTATTGGCTGCTTGATTATTTGTATATGTACTTATATGGGCGCCTTTTATATCTTTGGTAAGGTTGATTCGAGTATAGACCTCAATCGCATGATCCTCAGTTTAGAAGACAACATACTATACATCAGACTTAAGCGGAATTTTGTTGAAAGGACTAAAGATGAAAACTCGAAATTCTGTATTCGCTTTGGTTTTATCAATGTACAATAGTATCATTTTTTATTCAAGAACAGAAATGTTATATTTTCATCCAAACCACACTAATTTAGTGCGGTTTACAATATTTGTTTAAAGTTGCAAATAATTTTATAATGTATTATAAAACATTTTAAACGTTTTTATTAAATAAAAAGAAAATATGTATATATACATATATATTATTACTTACTCTTATAGTATGTTATATATAGATCATTTTGATCATCGGTAGAATCATATGGATAATTACTGTTGTCAGGTGAACGTCCAGATGCTAAAATGCGTGGGCGATCCTCCTCAATAATTTTTTCAGATTCAAGAGCATAAATTGAATGTATATGTGCCGAGCATTTGAGCTAAAACATAAAGTAGTTTTGAAAGAAAATATTTTATAAAAAAAGTAATAATTTTGCAAATATATTAATAATAAATATTTTAATATAGGGAACCTTTTTTTGAATCAATCATAAATACCTAGAGCACTTATGAACTTACTACCCATGCATTAACATATAGATATAATTTCTTACTTCTATAGATAAAAAACCTTACTATAGACAAAGTTATTTTTGCCATTAAGGAACATTTTCTTTTATTACAGTGAAAACTTTGTTAAATGATTATTCTCAAGTGAGATATCTCAAACAAAAAAAAAATTTAAATGGATTGTACACATTATCGGACAGAACAGCTGCTTTTCATTGTATTCCAATATCTTGAAGATATCACAAAGAGTCAATGTTTTTAGTGTATAACTACTTAATATGGATCCCAGGACACAATGGATTGGAAGGAAACGAAAATGCAGATGAACTAGCCAGAAAAGGGGCGGCCTCATATAATATTGGGCCACAACCATTCTGCGGTCCTTCATGGAGCTTTTTCTAACTTTAAATTAATAAGTGGCCGGAAAGAGCAGCTCAGACTGATTGGGATAATACAATTGCTCAAAAGCCACAACTAGGGAGCTACTTATGTTGAACAGACTTGACATTCGACTTGTCACAAGGTTTCTCACTGGGCACTGTGGAGTTAAAAAACATCTGTCGAACATAGGTATTAGTAGAGACGATAGCTGTAGAAAATGTTGCGAAGAAGAGGAAACAGCAGAACACATTCTGTGTGATAATTTCGTCAGACTCAGACTTTGGTACTTATCCACTGCTTATCCAGTTATAACGGAATTCGGCAACATCTCTCCAAAAGACATAATGGCGTTCTTAACTGCTACTCGTCTATGGAACTGAAGTGGATATGTTACAATAATCCCCTCGAAAGATGTACTGACGTGGTGACAAGTTCACAACACATCTTAAAATCTAATCTAATCTTGTGTATTACTATGAACTTATTATAGTGATGTTTTATTTTCTGTTTATATTTCTAACCTTAGTAAGTAAATGCACGTTCACATCAAATATCCAATATATTTCTAGTACATAATTACCTTTAAACGGCTTTTGATGAAATGTTGCAATGTAACTATAAAATTAATTTCCAGTACAGACGATTCTAAGTTTTCTTCAACATGCTTTTGAATTTCGTAGTAACGCAAATAATTTGGAGATACCTGAAATGAGGAAAAGAAACTTAATAACATTTCATTTTGAAAATAAATTAAATATTTACTTTATAAAATATGGAAAAGTTGTAATGAAATAACATATACACACATATACAGTCACACTTTATTATGAACTTTCGAAAAATTCACTATAAATTTTATAATAAATTCACTTCAAAATATGGTAAGGAAGTTGAGCTCGGTTAGAAAACTGAAAGGATACTGCAGATTTCGGAAAAAACTATGAAAATGTTATTGATTTATGCTTTATTGGCAAAGTCAAAATTGAAATTTCTGCTGTTGCACTTTGAGGCGTTCAACTTATTCCGCTCCGGCTCTCCTGCTCTCGATGCATTTCAATTTCAATTTCAATTTAAGATTCGTTTTCGTTTTTAATAAAAATTTTTCTCAACTCCATAATGACAAACAAATCAATATCCCTAAAAGTATGCAAACTAGTTGCAAGTAAATCAAAAAAGAAATACGAATTATAAGGAATTTCAGTTAATAGTTTTTTTCATTTGAATTATTTACTGCTCTTTCATGGATTATTTGGTGCGGAAAGAAGTAAACCACGAAGGCAATATTTACACATAATAAAATTATAATTACAGAATCAAACATAATCATTCTATAATATATAGAATTAATATATATACGAAATTTTAAAGGATACTTGTAAACATTATTTGTCATACATTTAAAATATACCCAATAGACAGCACTTGCCAACCCCATCACCTAGCGATTAGTTGTGCCCTACAATCAAAGGCTTTCCTAGGATTGTGCTTAGGTGGAGATTATTCTAAAAAGTTTCACAGTTTTTACAGCTCATTAAACTAAATTTTATTTCGTTTTATTTGATGATTATATTGTCAAGAGGGAAATTAGATATTTTTAATTTAATTCTCTTGGATACGCCTAGAGTCACACTGTCTAGAACAGTTTTTATTGCAAACATTTTTTCTTCATTGAATTTGTTGCTTTTTCAATTATAATGCTTTTTGAATCATTTTTAGAAGTAACTAATTGTATTCAAAAAAAATTATAATAAAACGAAATTAATTCCTTTATCAGTTTTTGATCCACGGGAAATGAAACCTTCTTGCACTACTTATATAAGGAATCATGAAATTTCGTTGGCTTTATATTTTAAATTAGAGAATTACAATCAACTAATATATGTCTATTACTTAAAGATTATTTAAACCTTTATGTTTCTTAAAAGTTATGATTCCATTACAGGCACAAAAGTAAGTTTTTTGATCAAGTGTTATTAATGTCGTCTATCAAAAATCAAATTTTTCCAAACTTATCTAATTCCAATTTGATCAAATTGTGTTAAAACCTACATCAGTTATAGGCTAATCTAGTGATACTAAAAGATTCCTTCTTACTTGTATACATAAAATTCACTTTGATCTCTATTCATTTTGATAAAATAACTTTAATAAAAACATATAAAAAACATAATCAATAATTTTTATTGATTATTAAAAATTTTTATAACATAAAATATGACAAAAATATGTCGAATGGGCACATTTTAGGACTACGACTACTTAATAAAACAACCTATCAGAACATTAACATATTAACAATTATAAAACTAATAATTAGTTGCGGAACCATTAACCTCCTGGTGCGGGCTCGAATTGGTTAAAATGTTCTGGACGAATTACTTCATTATTTACCACAACTTGTTGTCTGCGGTATATAATACGCCTGAATTGCGGCACAGGTCTCACAGGTACCTGTCTGGGTGGTTCTGCATGGTTTCCTTCAAAACGATGCATAACCATGTCAAAAATCTAATGAAGTACAAGATAACAATAATATTCATCTTGATCTACGTATTTTTATTCAATGCTACTCACAATTCCAGCCAGATGGCTTATAACCAGGCCCAAGATTATGTTCTGTGCCATTTCCATAAGTTAAATTTGTTCAACAATAGATCTTATGAGTCTTATTAGAATTTAGATTGTGTCTTTAGAATTTTCGACGTTAAGACAGGCGATTTAGATTGGTTGCAATTGAAAAAAAAATGTTCATCTATTGTTAACTCCTGACAGAATAATAATATTTTCCAATCGAAAGTTTGGGAACTACTTTTGAGAAGAATTTATGAGAATACAGTTTAAAAAATTTTTTTTTTAAATTTGAAAACCGATATTTTACTTGTATAAAAACAATAGCTAACTTTGATTAAGTTATTACTTTTCAAGAAAGTGAAAAAATCGATCACTTGTTAGAGAAATTCTCTCTAACCATTCTTCCAGATCTTGCAGGGTCATTGTACTGTGTACCCTGTTCCATTTGTTCTACATATCATAAGTATTCGGCTCCTTTTAAGAAAGGCCAAATATGTATATTTTTCGGCATTTCCCAAATTTCCCCTATTTTCTGTCGAGTGTAGCGATCGGTATTTGAGGTATTTTATGTAGAATACTGTGTTTGAACTCGGCTAGATTTCGTGGCTTGCCAGACGACCGATACCTATTAACCCTATTAATAAAAGTCCGGAGGCGTTTAATCTGATGAGCGGATCATTCCTTCATTTTATAAATGGTAAATTTGCTAGTATAGAGTATAGTTCCATTCAGCTGGAATCAGTAATGTGTCATGTCGAATCAATGGACTTGCGGCATCACATAACGCGGCATCGTTCCGATATATTGAACTTTTGTAGTCGGTACAGCGTCACCGTATTTATTGTCGTAAAACTACGGTCCAATAGTAGTACGGTTAACGACACCACTGCACCACAGACTCAACTTTTGTTCATAATTTAGCTCTTGTTATATTTTTCGTGGCTTAAAATTATCAGGAAAGCAACAGCTTTGCTTGTTGATGTTACTACAAAGTTCGAAATTCGATTTATCAATTATAACAATTTTGCACCGAAAGTCATCGTCGGCATGGACCAATTGCTTCACAAATTCTAAATATACCAACAGTCTTGGCTTGTCTATCATTTCAGGATCTCTCTCAGCACTGGCTCTTAAACGGTCGATATGGTTTTTATTTGGGGTTGAGCATGATGTACCTGGTTTTAATAGATTACCAAAACTATTTGTGTTGTTAGAAATTTTTTTCGAAAACTAGTTTGAACTCCCGTTGAATTTTCGCAATTAAACAATATTTTTTCATTTAAAACTCAACAACATGCGCGCGTTATATTGGCATGTACTGCTCCATGTTAAATATTAGCATTAACTGAAGTCTCATTCACTAAATAAAAGGAATGTGACAACTAATGTTGAAGTTATTATTCGTTGAACATACTCTAGAATATGCTTTTTTTTTTTTTTTTAAGCTATACGAGCTAAGGGATGTGGAATCTTCAAAAGATACTGGTAGCCCGTACTACCAGCATGCACGATTCGCAACCAAGACTTACTCTTTTGCGTGGTATTTGCGCCTACGTACTAAACCTCATCCTAACACCGTGCCTCTTCTAACCATAAATCCCTCCGGAACCACATTTAAGCATTACTTCAGAGGGTGGTGATTCAGCGATTGTTGTCATCTCTTACTGCATTTCTAGATCTCTCTGCTGCTCTCTGCCCTTCTATGATTTCTTTCGCAAATACACACACTAGGTTCCAGATTTCTGTTGATCACTCTAGAATATGCTGTAAAATTCAATTTGTAGAATTTCTGCACAATAAATAATAATTTGGATCATGTCCTTGGATCAAGTCAGTTTTATAGTATACTCCGTAAAATACAACTCCTATGAAAAGTTTTTTTTTTGTAGTGCTATTAGAAAATTAAAATTTTGGAGAATGTCGTTTAATTGATCCCTTCGGATTTTTTTTCACAACATCCATATTTTTAATAATATCTTTTCGTTTTTGATGAAACTAATTAATTCCTTCACGAATAATATGCTCTGTCGATGGATGATGTTGTCCATAAATCTCATATATTGCGGGATTCGTATAGATTTATTATTATTATAAAAAATTTTAACTACTGTGCATTATGTTTTCTTGATAGTTTGTCAAATACTATTGAACAGAAATGTCAGTTTTGCCGGAAGCTGAAAAAAATTAAGATACTTAAGAAAAAAATATGAGTAGTATACAATTTATCATATCCTTTTTATATTACATTGATTGCGTTTTACTATTTACATTTTAATACATAATATTTGCACTAAAAATAAAATATCTGAGGTATGTCTTATTTTACTTAATTGCACGTACCTCAGTTAGCGATTTTTCGTCGTTTTGATACCATATTCCTAGTAAGAACCCTATAATAGAAGAGTAGAGACTAAATCTATCCAGCCGAATTTAGGTAATTTAATGGATCTTCCGTCTTCACCGGTGAACATTCTGATAAACTATCAAAGAAATAATCAATTCCTCCTTTTTTCAGTGAGCTTTTTTGCTTCTGCTTTAGTTAACGCCTTCATATATGCTTCTAATATTTACTTGAAAAATTTTAATATTTAGTGCACATATAGAAATGGTGAAATGATCTAAGTTACAAAATTTTAGTTGTGTAACTTTAATTCTTAAGGTTTAGTGTTATATATTTGAAGACATTTTATGGTCGCACCATTATGAAGGTGTCATTATAAAATAGAAGGTGCAAAAGAACGTAAATCAATGTCATTGATCGCTGCATTTGTAGTAAATGTCCAGTAGCAGAAGTTATACATCAAACGCTTTTTTGATCTAATGTTTTTCATACGATTATTTCTTTTGTAAGCAAATTTAATATAAGTTCCAACACACAATGTTCGCTTTTGTTTTAATCCATCGAAAGCCTAAAAACATGCAATGACATTTTATTCTCAACATTTTTGCTACGCTAAGTTTCGTTTTGTCACCTTCCTCCCTACCCAAATTTCCATTCAACGAATAAATGGCAACTAAAGAACAGAAACGAGAAATACTCGTAACATATGTCACTTGGCTGTCATAACTACTTCCCTTGGCTTCCACAACGATTTAATATGATACGTTGTGTTACGTACGTTACGTACTGTT